TCTCTCTCTCTTTCTCTCTTTTTACTTTAAAAATCTTATTTAGAGGACCCATGCAGATATTCAGTACAAAATACACTGCTGTACACAAACTTTCAAGTCTTATAATAATTACAGATTCACACGACATCTCAGTGTAGGGGAGAGAAGTCTAGTGGATTGGATCAGTCATTTCTGTTTCCTTCCAGTAATTACATTTATGTATCATTCAATATCAAAACCAAGGAAGCTGACGTTAGCACTTGTTTTTAGTTCTCTGCCTTTTTATCACATGTATAGATTTTTCAATATGCCCGGTCCCAAGAAGTGACATGAACAGGCTGTGGGGATGAGTGTTTGCCATGCAAGTGTAAGGATGGGAGACTGAATCTTCAGAATCCCATAAGTGATGGGTGGATTTGTCGGCCCAGCTGTAAGTCCTGCTTCAGGAAGTAGAGAGAGTGGAATCCCCAGAGCAAGCTAGCTATCAGGACTGGCTGTACTGGCAAGCTCTGGGTTGGCCTGAGAGACACCATCTCACAGGATAAGGTGGAAGAGTGATTGAGGAATCCTGCCATCAACTTCAGGATTCCACATGTACACTCACCCAGGTGCACATACATCCACATGCACACACACACACACACACACACACACACACACACTTGAAAAATGGATGGGGGTGGGGGAAGCAGCCTGGTCTTTAAAATCAGTGGCATAGAGGCTGAGAAACCCTGGAAGAATTTTAGAAGAGCAGCTGGTGAGGTGTCTGGAAGCCACCAGGTTCTCACAGGGGCCCAGATGAAAGGGGCCAAGAAGGCCCATGTGCCAAGCAGAGGAATCGGTACTTTGTCTTGTAGCCAAAGAGGTTTGCCATGAGACAGAGCTTAAAAAGTCCAGGGGTGGTATGGTATGGTACCACAGCCTTTAACCCAGCACTTAGGAGACAGAGGCAGGTGGATCTCTGTGAGTTTAAGGCTAGCCTGGTCTACAGAGTGAGATCTTGCCTCAAAAACAAAGTCTGGGGCTAAGTTTTCCTCCTGGGACATCACCCAAGTTATTAGTTCTGTCCATTCCCTTCTTTAAACATTCCGGAACCCTTTGTTTTATTTTCTCCTGTTAAATAAACAGGATCTGGGGCTGGGGCTCAGTTGGTAGGGATCTTGCCTAGCATGCACGAAATTACAACAGTGCTGCATAAAACCAGGCCTGGTGGCTCACACCTGTAACCAGCACTAGACATGTAGAGGCTGGAGTATTAGGAGTTCAAGGTCATCCTCAGTTATACAGGGAGTTGGAGACCTTGTCTAAAACAAAAACAAAAACAAAAACAAAAACAAAAACAAACAAAAACTACTTTGCAGGACTGAAAAACAAGTATGAAGTTACAGCAGCATGACCTGAATGGGCAGAAACTGGGTCATTCCCCTAGTTGGATCTGCGGCAGATGAGGCAGGAAGCTGGCTGGAGGCTGCTGCTAGAGAGGCCAGGAGGAAGATAGGAGGGATCCTAGGCCCAGGCTGGGGTGCAGGGAAGGTGGGTGCAGGAGGGTGTTGGCTGTGTGCCATCGAGCACAAGAGGGGAGGGGTGGAGGAGTGAGAAGGGTCAAGGGTAAAGTCTAGGTCTCCAGGTGGAAGCCAAGGGCATCACGGGGCCCCTCCTGAAATGGCCAGGAGTTGGGGCAGCAATTTGGGCAGGGTTCGAAAGAAGGGTGGTGGTCGTCGTCCCTCAGGCGGGGGACAGCAGGCTATGGTGAGCCCAGCTCCTTTTCTTCTCTAAGAACCCTCTGGCCGGTTCCCGGGATAGGCAGTCCCTCCCCAGCTCTGGGTGGTGGCGCCTCAGCTGTAGGTTTGTCAAAACAATTGGAAAAAACCTGAGCTTCAAGTAAGCCACCAGTATTTTTTTAAAATAAATACACCCCAAATGTGACATGGGTGTTACTGCAGGCTGGGTTTTCCCAGCTGCCCCATTCAGGGGAATGCAGGTGCCTGAGTGTGGGTCCTCAGGATCTAGGAATGGACAGGGGTGTGACTTAACCACTCTGAGGATAAGAGCCGGACAATGGTGAGGCCCCAGTCCTGACAGCTTGCTTGGGCCAGAAGGAGCCACAGGATCTTTCCCGCCTGCCCCTGGTGTTCCCACAGGCCTAGCATGGGGCCCCCGACACCCTCGGGTGCTGCAGGATACTTAAGTGAACAAGCAACTGCATTCATGAACAAATGAATGATTGGGAGTTTTGAGGGCCCTGAAATGTAAGCGAAGAGCCATCAAAAGGAACTCACACCCATTCATACTACTCCCCACATGTCTTGAGTGTTCAGAGTGTGAACACTGTAGAGACAGAGCACTCTTGAATCTTCCGGAAGGCACCCGCCGCAGAGGTTGGTGAGTGGTATTAAGAAGCTGCACCCACCTTGAGGTTTCTGGAACTTTCTCTGGGTCTGGATGAGGAAACCTCTTTGGTAAGACTTGGAAATGGTCCTTTACAGCTGGGTGTGGTGGCATGTACCTGTAATCCCAGCACTCAGGAGGCCAAGACAGGAAGACTGAGAGCTCCAGGCCAGCCTGGGCTACACATCCAGATCCTGTCTCAAACAATTACGACAGTTTACAGAAAGGATACAACCCATTTTACAAGTAACTCAGCAGCATCAATCATTTCCCTTTGTCCTTGAGTGGATGGGTAATGGGCACACATACTACATACTACAGTCTACATACTACAATCCACCTTCCTCTTTTTTCCTCCAAATCACTCCCTTCTCTCTCTCAGGAGAGAACATCTAAACGGGACTGAGGGGGTGGATAGGGTTAGGAGCACTCAGTGTACATTCCCAGCACCCACACTGGGCAGCTTGCAAGTCTTATAACTCCAGCTCCAGGGAGTATAATGGCCCAGTCTGGCCTCAGTGAGCACTTGCACATAAGTGTGCATACTTACATGCAGACACACACATACACCAAAAGGGGGGGGGACCTAGAAATCTAGTTATGAAACAACCTCAGATAAGTTCTTATTAATAGAAACCATTGGCTCTGCAAGTCTCAAGTCACATCACAAATCACCAGTCACACTTGAGGGCCTTGGCTTGTGCCTGGGACCTTTCCGAGAAGCCTCTAGGTACCTGAGGGTACCCATCTCTAGATGCACAGTCCTGGTCAGGCTCCAGGCTGGTTCTGGCATTGACTCTCCAAGAACAGTTGCTGGTGGGCTGCAGGGAGAAGGGGAGCAGGTGCCAGAAGCGAAATCAACTGTCGGTGGGCAGCGAGGGCGCTGCACTCAGCTGGCATCTCTTGGTAAAAGGACTGGCCTTGGGGAAGAGCACACAGTTACTTCCGGGTGCCACAGAGATGGCTCGGGAAGTAAAAGCAGCCACAATACAGTCCCAGTGACCTGAGCTTGATCCTGGAACCCGTGTAAAGGTGGAAAGAGAGAACTGATTCAACAAAGTTGTCCTCTGACCTCCTCACGTGCATCATGGCATTTGTGTGCCCACACATAACATACACACACACACACACATATTAATAAAACAAACAAAAGGAATTAGCTTCTACGTGGGGCAGATCCCCAGAGGTATAAAACATACCCTGGCAGGCCAGTGGGTAAGGCAGGCCTGACTCTGAGATCTGGTGCTTGGTGCATGTGCCCTGCAGTCTGCCTGCCTCACAGCAGCTGGTATTGAGAAGCTTCCTCTTCTGCAAACAGGGGAGCATCTTCACTAAAGTCATCAAAATCTTCTGGCCTGGATAAAACACTTGAAGCCTTACATCTGCATGCTCATCTGCATATATCTACATAAGAAACAACCTAGCACCTCTTTTGCATTCAGAATGATTGCTCTCCTTGCCAGAGTGTGTGCTGCGCTTTGGTGAGTGGCACTGCCAAAGAGTCACTCGAGGGAGATATTGGCTCTGGGCATATTAGTGCCCCAATGTCCCTTCAGCCTGCATTGTGGGCTCTACAGGAAGTGATCCCCTTGTACCCTCAAACCACTCCCAGAAACTTTTCCTTATTCCTCCAAGCTCAGGCTGCCAAGTAGTGTCAGGAAGGCACAGCTGTTTGCCAGGTACACACACAAAATAATTGTGGCGGATTCCAGCTTTACCTGCACTGACGGATAACCTCTGAGGTTTGACAAGTTGCCTAGCCGGTAGCCAGTGAGGGAGCGGCAATCCAGTGATCCAAGTTCCTTGTCCCTAAATGCTTTGCAGAGCAACACCAAGTAGATGCCTGGCTGCCTCACGGGGGTCACGGATGCTTGAGAGAAGATGGACAAGTTAGATTACTGTGGACGCAGAGGAGGGTGGGTAGGAAGGCTGGAAGTGTTCTCAAGGCTCCTTGGGTTCTGCTTCGTCCACTTGTGTCCGACATGGACCCAGTGCCCTTTTGGCTTCCCCTCTAGGTCTGCACAGCCTTTCCTGCAGAGTTTGGTAAGTTCAGCCACGTCAACATGCACCATGGTTACACCAACGTGGTGGGCCTGGGAGACTCGAGCACATGGAAGATGCCGTGCCTCAACCGCTACGTCTACATGCTCCTTGCACCGCTCTTGATCCCCGTCTTAACTCCACTGGTAGCTCTTGGTGAGGACCGGACGGATTGGGGTGTCCTGACGACCCGCCCCAGCCCTCTTCCCTTCCCTCCTGGTTACTGCTCTTGATCCCCGTCCTAATCCCACTGGTAGTTCTTGGTGAGGACCGGATTGGGGTGTCCTGACGACCCGCCCCAGCCCTCTTCCCTTCCTTCCTGGTTTTGTGGGCCCTGCTGTGGAGGTAGCTGGGAGCCACGAGTCAAGACTGTCCGAGGCAGCCAAGCTGGGTGGAAAGAACCCCGGATCTGATCCAGGTCTCTCCTTTACTTACTGGCTGGTGGCTGTGGGCAGGTAACTTGACCTGCCTGCCTTAGGTTCTTCGCCTGCTCAAGGATGGTGTGAAAATATAAGGAGCCCACACGTATATCCCACAGATATACGGGAGCTTTGTACGGGCTGGAGAGGCGGCTCAGAGGTTAAGAGGGCTTCCTGCTATTCCAGAGGACCAGACTTCAATTCCTAGCATCTGCACTGGGTTGCTCACAATCCCCTGTAACTCCAGCTTCAGGGGGAATCAATCAATACCTTCGGCTTCCATGGGCACCAGCACTTACACACACACACACACACCCCACAAAATTATAACATAAAATCTTAGGGTGTGTGGGGTCACTGTAGATGTCCTGTACAAACCACACTGCAGGCCTTGACCTTAGTTAGGGTGCAAAGGCAGGATATGCTTTTCATGTTGTCTAGGTTCACTGAACACACCCAGAGCACTCTTCTACCTTAACACTCCTGGTTACCAGGGAGCCGGCTCATGATGGCTCTCCCTTACATCACCTCTTGTCCCTCTGACAGAACATTTGAGGAAGGAAGAGCTGAGGGTGGCACTTCGGACACTGGGCTTCATGTCCCTGGGCCTTTATTCTCAGTACTGGCTGCTCCTGAATGTGTCCGGCTTCAAGAGCCCCAGTTCAGCACTGGCTTGCATGCTGCTTGCCAGATCCCTGCTGGCCCACCCCTATCTCCATGTCAACATCTTCCAGGTAAGCTCCCAGCCCTGGACTCAGGCAGCTAAGAGGATCATCTACAGCTGTCCGACAGCAGGCCAGACTCAAGCTTTAGGTAGAGAAAGGTCACCAAAGGACGCTTTCCCCAATTCCTGCTCCTCCCCTGTCACGGTGGGTCATCACAGGAAGTCTGGGTTTCAATGAAGCCTTTGCCTGGTCCTGGAGAGATCCTCCTTGCTTTCTTCTCCAGTCTAAATCCTACCCATCATTCAAGGTCAAGTTTACATATCCCCTTCTACTGTTTCGTTCAATTAGTACATAGAAACACCTTCTCTACTAGGCACCTCCCTGGGTCAGGCACCTCCCTGGGTCAGGCACCTCCCTGGGTCTAGGTTGCCTTGAGGTAAACAAGTACTTCATTTGAACTGAGACAAGTAGATGGGACATAGTGAGAGGATGGAGTAATTAGCTGCAGATGTGCCCAGTGCCAGGGGATTGTGCAGAAACCTAACAAGTCTTCACCCATAGGGGAGCAACGAGGTCTCCCCGTAGAAACGGTGCCGAACTCCTGGCTGTTCTCAAAGACCTTCCGTCTTCTGCCCTGCCCTTGGCCTGCCTCGTGGCATTGGCTGGGCCCTCCCTTTGCTCTCCTTGAGCTTGGACACACAGGCAAAAGCATGCTACTGGTGTGAGGCATGCAGGGTCACAAGAACAAGCAGTGAGTGAGGGGCATTTGAATGCCAGGGTTCTGAAAAGATGCATAGACAAAGCCCTTCATCGCCCAAATGGGGAGAGGCCCAGATGTGGGAAAGACTCAGCTCACCACAGACTGAGTTAGCCCTGGAATTTGGCTAGAGCTTTCTCACACTTCTAGGGTCCCACTGGCCTCTGTACACTTGGTGAAGACAGACCCAGGGTTGTCTAAGCCCCCACAGGGTGTGACCCATATGTCTATCACAGCACATCGGATTGCCTATGTTCTCCCCGGACAAGAAGCCCCGACGGATTTACATGATGAGCCTGGGGGTGCTGAACCTGCCACGGCAGCCACTGCTGGACTGGGCATTCGGCCACTCGCTCATCAGCTGCCATGTGGAGCATCACCTCTTCCCGTGGCTCTCTGACCACATGTGCCTGAAGGTAGCCAAACGCTGGGAAGAGGGGTGGGAGGAAGGGCCTGTCTGAGGGTGGATGGTGGGGAACCTGCAGGTACATCTCAACTCTGGGTCCCTTCACTGGCTTCTTCAAAGGTCACCCAGGAAGAGCAGCCTGGAGTACAAGTAACAACATGGATTTTATACCAGAGTCACCTGGGTTTCCTAGTAGCAATATGACTCTGGGCAAGTTCACTGAGCCTCAGTTTCCTAGTCTGTAAAATGGGAGGGGACAGGGTTCATCTTGATGATTCTGAAGATGAAATTAGATCTGAAATATTTGACCCAAAGAAGATGCTTAGCAGAGGGAGCTGAGGAGGGTGGACATGTAGTTGAGAGTCTTGTGGGAAGTGAGGGTGAGAGGCCATTCCTCCCTCTAGGATAGGGTAGAAGGATTCGAAAGCTCTCCAATACTTCAGCCCCTCACGTCCCCAGCAGAGAATGGCTAGGGTTCGACAAGGGAGCTCAGTGGTGGGCAGCCCGCTGCAGGCCTGCGACTCAGAGGGCTCTCTCCTTTTGCGACTCTTTCTCAGGTGAAGCCCTTGGTATCCAAGTTTCTTCATGACAAGCAGCTGCCCTATAATGAGGACTCCTATCTGGCTCGCTTCCAGCTGTTCCTCAGTCACTATGAGGAGTTCATGGTGCATGCCCCTTCCATCACCGAGCTGGTGGGGCTGCAGTGAAGGCTGGCTCCCCGCCCTGGCCCAGTCCTGGCCCTCCTGCACTGCTGGCCCCGGTGGATCTGGAATACGGTGCTCTCAGGAAGATGGTGAAGCAGAGCAGATTGTGCCTGATGTCCCAGGGGTCTCCTGCTCTGGGGCTTCTCGGGGAGTTGAGTGGGGGTGGGGTGCTGGGAGAAGGACTGAAAGCAATGCAGAGGCTGCGCTTCCTGATCCACCTCGGCCTCGGCCGACTCCATCTCAGGATCCCTTTCTCTGCTGCATCTGAGCCAGGGTAGGGCTAAGGGGGCTGGTGACAGGTGAGGTGGGATCCTATGCTCGGGTGGAGGGGATACAAAGAGAAGGGCCAGCCTCCTCAGCCCAGACCTCCCTGGTGCCTAAGAGCCATTTACTTCCCAAGCTGCTGCTTCCTCCCATACCTTCTGAGGTTCTAGTCCCCCGCGGCCAACAGGATGAGGTCATTTTTTGGCAGCCCCCCCCCCCAGCTCTTCAATCAAAGGATCCTGTGCCAGACCACGCTCAGCAGCCCCAGGACCCACAGTGTCAGTGAGATAAAAGTGGGTGTATTTCCAGGGAGGTGCTCCAGAGGGGAACAAATGCCTCAGGCATGAAATTGGAGAAACCCCCCCCCAGCTTTGAGCATGACCTTGGCTAGCTCTAGACAAGTCTGCTTTGTTCCGTGTTTAGAAGGATCCAACCTGGGTGAATTACTGGGAGGCAGCTGAGGATGGAGACAGTGAACTGGAGCTGGGCCAGGAGGACCGGGAGGGATGGACAAAGCAGGGCGGGTGGGGTGAGACAGGAGAGTTGAGGACAAGGGCTAGGCCTGGCTGTGGGAGGGCGGTTTGCAACTTGGGTGGGAGCCAATGTTGCCAAACCTAGGAAGAAGCCACGCTGGGGACACCACCAAGATCCAGCCCAACAGGCAACTGAGATGGAGCTGCCTCAGCCAGAGGATGGAGCAGAGGGTTCCCGGAAGGACCCGGTGGAGACAGGAGGAGGGACTGCAAGGTTGACCGGCACCGGGAGGCCAGGGCGGTTAGTTCATAGCCTGGCTTCTCACCTTAGCCCTCCGGACATTTGGCTGATTCACACACTCAGGCTGTGCCGAGCACTGTGCGCACCCTTGGCTTCTGCTGACTGGATGTTAGGAACCCAAATCATGACAATCAAAATTGTCTCCTGATACAGCCATATGTCTCCTGAGTGGCAAAAACTGCCCTTGATTGAGAACACACAAGTCATCCTTCTGAGTGCAAACTGCTTTTTCAGTTAAATCACTGGGTGGAAGGGTGGACTTCCCTGACAATGGGAGGCTGAATGCTAGCAAAAGGGAACCAATAGGATGGACAGAGAGCTGGGAGGCCCAGCCTGTTGGAGCCCATCTTGGGTCTGGTGTGGCCTAGGCAGAGGTAGCTGTTGCCAGCCTGGACAGCCCTTTCCTACTGTCTTCACCTGGCCCTCCTCTAGTGGCGACCATGGCTTCCTCCAGGACCCTTTCCTCCAGCTGTGGCTCTTCCCAGCCTCTCCTCTGGGCTCCTTCTGGGCAGGGCCTGGCCTGGCAGTGGCTACTAGCTGCTGCCGGCCCCTAGGTGCTTCTCTGCCTCTGTATCTCTGCTCAGAGGTCCTTCTTCACAAGCCCTTCACTCTTCCTTTTGAGTCTGTGCCCTCTGTTCCCTGCTGGGAGGCTCCCGGACAGTAGTTTTGGCTCCAAGCCACCCTCTTGGGTTGGGGTGGGCTTGGCAGCCGCCACCACCTCCTGCTTTGCTGTATGTCATCGCTGGTCATTTGAAATGCATTAGCAGTTCAGAAGGGGCCTTAGGGCCTGAGAGTGTAATTCATCAAACTGCAAATTCTCCCTATGAAAAATGCAATGTCAGAAAAGGGTCCTGGCAGCATACCCAAAGCTAATGATTAAAACTATCCAAACACACGACCAGTGACTCATTGTTATTGATCTGGGCCTGAATGAGATACATTCCAGGGCAGCAGCTAGAGGCCCTGGGGACAGACCTGACTATACTATGGGCACACTAGGAGCAAGTCGCTTAGTGTCCCCGATATGTGATTATCTGTTACTCTAAGGACGTGGGCTGGATACAGAACTAAGAGAAAGCATTAGGAATTCACGAAGTACTTCCAGGCTCTGCAGGATCCTGGAGTCTAATGTAGAGCAGAGTATATGGGAAGTGGCAGTACTGATGACCACAATCATAACTGATGTTTGCTTACCACAAACAGTGAAAGTTTCTTGTTTTGTTTTTTTGTTTTTTTCTTGAGACAGGGTCTCACTCTATAACCCTGGCTGGTCTGGACCTCACCTGATGGCTGACCTTGAACTCCGAGATCCACCTGCCTCTACCTCAGTAATTTTTAACCTTTTTAAAGCTGTGACCCTTTAATACAGTTCTTCATGTTGTGGTGACCCTCCCCCCCAATCATAAAACTATTTTCGTTGCTACTTCAAAACTGTAATTTTGCTGCTGTTAAGAATTGTAATGTAAATATCTGATATGCAGGACATCTGAAATTCAAACCCTGTGAGAGGGCTGTTCAACTCCCAAAGGGTCCTGACCCACAGGTTGAGAACCACTGCTCTACCTTCAAAGTGCTGGGACTAAAGGTATACACCACCAGGCCAGGCTAGTTGTCTTTATCTGTTACCTAATTTCAATCTTTACAAGTTAGAATGATTTTTTTTTCATGTTATAAAGGGAGAAAAAGAAGTTGAGGTTAAACCTCTCAATATAATGACTGTTAAATTCAGACTCTGGATTTGAACTCAGTGACTCCAGAATCCATGCTATTGACTCTCATAGACGCTGCTTCTGAATGGGAAGCCCTATAGAGATTTTGGGTGTTTGACCTGAATTTCTATCTCTTTCTTCCACAAGACAGGATAATTGGTGATTTTATCATTAAAAGTAATTCTTTAGGGACTGAGGCTGAGGCTCAGTCTGGTACATGCCTAGCATGCAGCAGACCCTGGAGTCAGTTCCCATCACTGCTAAGACCAGGTCTGGTGGCACATGCCAGTAATTCCCAGCACTCGGAGGTAGAGGCAGGAGGATCAGGAGTTCAAGGTCATCCTCAGTTACACAGCAAGTCAAGGCTAGCTTGGGCTCAGAGATCTTGTCTAAAAGAAAAAAAAAAAAAAACAGGGCTGGAGAGATGGCTCAGCAGTTAAGAGCACTTGCTGCTCTTCCAGCAGTCTTGAGTTCAATTCCCAGCAACCACATGGTGGCTCACAACCATCTATAGTGGTATCTGATACCTTCTTCTGGCATAAAGGTGTACATGCAAGTAGAGCACTCATACATAAATAAATAAAAGGAAAAACCAGAAAGGTAAATCCCTTATGAATTACCCACTGGATGCTAGGCACCCTGTAATGCTCTGGGAATCCCTTATGAGTACCTATTGGATGCTAGGCACCATGTGATGCTCTGGGAATGAGTGAATGAGATTGTCCCTGCACCCCACCATTTTCATGAAACCTACAGTTTTTTCACAATTTTTGTGTAAAAGGCCAGATATATATTTTGGGTGTTGTGGACAATATGATCCCAGTCACAACTCAACCGTGCCATTAAAGTGTTAAAAACAGCCATATGAACATGCCCCCAGGGCTCAGGGACCACTGTGGAAGAGGGGGCAGAAAGATTGTAAGCGACAGAGGTCAGCGAAGATCAGAGCAAAACAGTGTTTTCTGGACACAACAGGACCACAGCACTCATGAACTCAGAGCAGCCAGTGGTTGCCAAGACACAAGACCAAGCCAGTGAGAAAATTCTAGGATAGAGGGGTGTCTTACTTAGGGTTTTTATTGCTGTGAAGAGACACTATGACCACAGCAACTTATATAAAGGAAAACATCTAATTGGGGCTCGCTTACAGTTCAGAGGTTTAGTCCAATATCATCATGGCGAGAAGCATGGCGGCCCACAGGCAGACATGGTGCCGGAGGGGGACTGAGAGTTCTACATCTGGATCCTTGGCAGCAGAAAGGAAGAGTGACTCTGGCCTGGCTTACGCGGCTAAAACTTCAAACCCCGCCCCCAGTGACAAGGCCACACCTCCTAACAGAGCTACTCCCTGTGAGCCTTTTTCATTCAAACCAGCTGGAGGGGAGACTGGCTCAGAAGCCCCTCCTGCTAACTGAGGGTCTCCTGACAGTGGACATTTCCTGGGGAAAGGTGAGTCAGTTTTCTCTAAGGGTGTAGCCCCTGGTAGACCCACCATGCTATGAGTACACGGGCAACAGAAACTGGATTCAGTAGGTTATTAAAAAAAAAAAAAAAAGAAGACATGAAGTTGGGGTGAAGGGGTGGATCTAGGGGGAGAAAAAGGGGAATGTGATCAAAATATAGTGTATAAGATTCTCAAAGAATTAACAAAAAATATTTTTAAAAAGAAATGAACAAGTAAAATATTAAATATGCTACCATTTAAGATGGTTCAGTGGTTAAGAACACTTGCTGTACTTGCAGAGGATCAGAGTTCGATTCCTAGCACCCACGTCAGATGACTCACAGCTGCCTGGTACCTCTGCTCGGGTGGTTCTGAAGCTCTACATATAAATTTTTTATTATTTTATTTGTTTTTTTTTTT